GCTGCAACCCTAGTAACCTCTCTCCCCGACCCTGAGAACCAGCCCATGCCCTTCTTCCGGAGGGTTGCCCAGATTCATAAGACATACTCAGCAGCCTGGCGTGATCTGTATAGTCTGTGTGAGAGCAAGGCTGGGATGCCTAATGGCCCATTATGGAAAGGAGTTTTAATGGCGCTCTCCTCACTACCAATACGGATTTCCAGTCGGGTATTAGATTCTATGAACAACTTCAGGCCTGGGCCCAGGATAAATTATCTGACCAAGCCACTTGTATAAATGACATTATACAAGACATACTCGAATCTGTGGAAAAATACCATTCACGGTTGACTCAAACTTTCTCCGATCTCGGATTCAGTGTATATAACAAAGCACATACCCAGATGTTATCTGCTGCCTTTGTTGCTGGCCTTAAGGAAGCCATCAGGAAAGGCTTAGTGGTCTCTCACCCCGAATACAGAATTATTCCTTTGGACACTCTCTTACTAGTTGCTAAGGGCCTAGAATCTGCTCTACAGCCACCCCAAAGGAAGAGTAATCCTCTTATGTTTTCCGTTTATAACCCTGCCACCAGACCCGCCCCGGTCCCCCCAGGATATCCCGCACTATCTACCCTGCCAGCTGCACAGGGGCAGCACATGACGCACGCCTCTAGGCCTCAGACCAGGGCATGCTTTTATTTTGTAACCAACCGGGCCATTTCCGGAGAGATTGTCCACCACTAGACCACCTATGTACCCCAATGCCACTGCAGCCACGTATGGTGGTCTCCAACCAGGTTACCCTCCACAGATATATTACCCTCCTCAGGAATATGCCCAAGCTGTCTACCAGCACTCTCCATCTGATACTCACCCCCCATCCCGCAGCTATACTCACCCTTCCCCTGGTAGTTATGATACAGATTATTTCTAACAAGATGAATGCCCTGCACCCAGTCATTATCACTCTACACGTCAAACCCATCAGGCCAGCCACTCCACCACACCTGCACGTCACTACACTGGCCCTGATCAATCTCATCTAGACCTTGTACAATAGGTAACCGGCAAACCTGTGTCTAACACCCTTGTCATGGCAGTGTCTACAGGGGACAAGGAGGGACCTCTCACTACAGTTGTCCTACCAGTTGAGGGTCATCCTACTACCTTTTTAGTTGACACAGGTGCAGCCCACAGTGTTCTCAGAGAACAGGACCTGCCTGACCCATCTTACCTATCCGACACAGATGTTTCTTGTGTAGGTGTTGATGGTACCCCCCCGAAACAACCCATTAACTAAGCTCTTGCGGGTTGGTTCTGACATTCTCTCTCGGTTTGTTGTCTCATCCACTTGTCCAATTAACCTTTTAGGAGCAGATTTTCTGTCTCGTCTTCAAGCTTCTATATCCTTTACTGCTGATGGCCAGGTTCAATTACTAACCCCCCTTTCTCGCAAAAAGATACTTCCGTCCTTTGCTCTCTGCCCCTATTACTACATATGGCATCCCCCACCGAGGAGGCAAGGGTCCCAGAAGCCCCCTGTACCCTGGATAGGGTTCCAACTAAACTTTGGTCCACGTGCCCAGATGACATTGGACGCCTACGAGTCCCACCTGTGGTAGTTACACTAATTAAGGGAGCTAATCCAGCACGAAGACCACAGTACCCATTGAAACCTGCACAAGCCCTCGCCATCTCCAAACAAGTTGATAGCCTGTTGGGAAAAGGTGCACTGGTCAAGAGTGTATCACAGTGTAACACCCCTCTATTTCCAGTAAAGAAGAAAACTGAAAAAGGTCAACCCGACCAATACTGTATGGTTCAAGACCTCCGTGCTGTTAATGAAGTCACAAACTGCGATACTGCCGTTGTCCCTTGGATCCCTCTTGTCAATATCTGTTTGCTTTCACACACGATCATCAACAGTATACTTGGACTGTCATGCCTCAAGGTGCACAAAATTCCCCAACCCAATTCGCCAAAGCTATGTCAGCTGTCCTAGAACCCTGGCAGAAGTCCCACCCAGACGTGGTCCTGCTCCAGTATGTAGATGATTTACTTCTCTGTGCGGATGATTTTCCAACTGCTGAACAGAATTCCGAAGATCTCCTTTGTTTCCTTGCTGAAGAAGGTTGTAAAGCCTCCAAGTCAAAACTCCAGTAGTGCCGGCCCTCTGTGGTCTTCTTGGGACATTGCTTTTCCCATGGCACCCGTCACCTAACGAGGAACAGGGTACTTGCCATTACAAATCTCTCCCTTCCGTCTAACCATCAGGCACTTCATGCCTTCTTGGGCCTCATCACATACTGCAGGGCTTGGGTCCCTAAGGCTTCTCAACTCATGCAACCTCTCTACGATGCTTTGAAGACTGAACCTTTTTCATTGTCCTCTACAGCCCGCACCTGTTACCATGCCCTTCAAAGAGCCATCTCCTCCGCCCCTGCTTTGGGCCTACCTAACTACCAGCTAAACTTTTCATCTCAGAGAAGATAGGCCATGCTTCAGGGTTCCTTACTCAATCCCACGGTTCCCTTCAGCGTCCTTTTGGGTACTTTTCCTGCATGCTAGGCCCCGTGGCCAGAGGTGGTCCTTCCTGTTTGCGTGCTGTTTTTGCTGCCCGTGCCCTGCTGGACAAAACTAATGACTTTGTTCTCGGACATCAACTGACGGTTCTTGCTCCCCATGATATCGCTGCAATCCTGAATCAAGTCCAGCCAAAGCATCTCTCATCTCAGAGACATCTCCGCCTTCAAACCTTCCTCCTCTGAATCCGGCCACTTTTCTGCCACTTCCCAAGGGGGGAGTGCCACAATACTGGTACAGCCTGGACATAAATCCTGATGTTCACATGGAACTTTAAGTAGAAAAGCCCACAGTTCCACATGATGAACAGCCCGAGAGCTACTTACATTGCACGGGGGTCACTAAAGAACCATAAATTGCAAAACTGTCAGTTACCCTCGATATCACACAGAGATATGTGAAGACATGCCTCCTACAGAACAGGACCCGGACGCCCCTCATGATTGCTTTGAACAGATGAAAATGGAAACAACTCATCTCCCAACAGTGCACGAGGCTGCCCTACCTGACCCTGACTACACTCTGTTTGTGGATGGTTCTAGATTCGCAGATGTACAGGGATAATATTATACCGGATATGCAGTCACCACAGAGGACCAAATACTCCAAGCATCTTCACTCCCATCATCTAAGTCAGCACAAGAAGCCAAACTAATAGCCCTTACTGTGGCATGAAAGATGTCTGAAGGGAAATGCGTTAATATTTATACAGACTCAAGGTATGCCCTGGGCGTGGCACATGACTTTGGCTTCATCTGGGAAACCAGGGGGTTCCGTACAGCAACTGGTACTCCGGTGAAACATGGCACAGCTATCAAAGAATTGATGGATGCCTTACTACTTCCTGAAGAGGTGGCCATACTGAAGGTAAAGGCCCATGGGAGACTGAATTCAGAAGAAGCACATGGCAACCATTTAGCCGACAAGGCAGCTAAGGATGCGGTGCGCCAGTGTCGGGAAGTGGACAGAAGAGTGTCCGTCGAAAAGACTCCTATTTACACTATGCAAACCCTACCCACCGATCTCAAGCTGCTAAGAGAACAACAGGCCGCCGCCACCCCACAAGAAAAACAAAGCTTGAAAGACAAAGGAGCAACCCTCCAGAATGAAGTATACACAATCAACCTCAAATTCTGTCTACCCAAGAATATGTATCCAGCTGTCGTCCAGTGGGCCCATGGACCAGCTCATTTATCTAAGCACCTCATGAACTCTTTGATTGATAAATATTTTGAAGCACCCGGATTCACCACCTTGACACGAAATTACTGCAGATCCTGTACCATCTGCGCCAGATGTAATCCAGGGAAAATAATTAAAGTTGCACCAAACCATTTGGCCAAACCACAGTACCCTTTCCAGAGGATCCAAATTGATCATATCCAAATGCCAAAGAGTGGCCGGTATGAATATGCACTGGTCATAGTGGATATGTTTTCAGGATGGCCAGAAGCTTTTCCGGTCGCTAATCTCACTGAAAAGACCACGGCGAAGCGTCTACTTACCAAAATCATTTGCAGATACGGAGTTCCTGAAGTAATTGAAAGTGACCAGGGTACATCCTTCACCGCGTTGCTAACCAAGGAGATCTGGGCAGCACTGGGGGTGACCCTTGCATTCCACACACCCTATCACCCACAGAGTAGTGGTAAAGTAGCGCATGAATGGCACTCTGAAAGCCAGAATGCTTAAAATGCTTAAAATGTCCCAAGAAACTAACCTACCCTGGCCGGAGAGTCTTCCCATAGCATTGTTTAGTGTAAGGTACACCCCAAGAGGGAGGTTTAGCTTATCTCCCTACGAAATCTTATTTGGAACAGCACCCAGGTTAGGCTATTACTTTCCTCAGCAACTTCAAATTCAGTCAGATGCAATGGTAGATTATATAACTGCACTCTCTCATGCCTTGACCAAAATCCATGCACAGGTGTTTTCTTCTATTCCAGATCCAGAGTCAAAAACAGGCACACATAAGCTACTTCCTGGTGACTGGGTCATGGTCAAGAAGTTCCTGAGAAAAGACACTCTTGAGCCAAGGTTTGATGGTCCACTCCAAGTCCTATTGACTACATCTACCTCTGTAAAGTTGGCCGGGAAGAATACCTGGATACACGCCTCGCACTGCAAGAAAGTTCCTGATCCAGAGGAAGCAGATTCCGACAAATCATGAGCTTCCTGTGCCTATTTCTGCTGCTAGGCCTATCGAAGGCCCAACAAGTTGCTATTACCAAAGACAATCATGTTTACACATTGTGGTATAATTCTTCAAACACACACGTAGCTACTTTCACCTTTGAATACTGTGAATATTGTCTCTTGTACTTTTCCACAATCACAACACTCAGCAATAGAGATGTCTCAAACCGTCCACGAACTTCTCGCGAACGGTTCGCCGCGGTTCGCCACGAGCTGTTCGCGGCGAACTCCGGTCAATCTCCAGCAGACCCTCCCTCCCAGACCCTCCTACTTTCTGGACAGCATGGAAGTAGGAAGTCCAGGAAGTAGGAGGGTCTGGGAGGGAGGGTCTGCTGGAGATTAGCCGGGACGTGTCAGCTGACCAGAGTTCGCCGCGAACAGCTCGTGGCGAACCGTGGCGAACCGTTCGCGAGAAGTTCGCGGACGGTTCGCAACATCTCTACTCAGCAATATACAAAGACATACCAAACAAAAAGGACCCATATATTTGTGTGACAGGTGACCATTGGGGACATCACTGTAGTACCTGGAAAGCGGCGGGTTGGAATACGGGCCGACCACGGGGCTACAGACCACAAAGTGCCTTAGATAGGATTGACAGATATGGGAAACCTTTGTTATACAGAATGACCTTATGCAAGCCAGCAGGGTCTACCCCAATGAAGCTCACCTTCCATATAGAACATCCCAGCCCAGGAGATGCTGGGGAGTACGTAATGGGAATGTATTGGAAAGGGGGTGGCTCACATAACAAGTTAGGGACCTTTAATTTCAAGACATGCTTACGTCACCTGACTGGGTAGACTCCACACACATGACCCTCTAAAACCACACATTAAAACCCTTAAAGACATAGTAGCCATTGCCAATCCTACATTTGAAGACTGTGGAGACCGGGTTTTCAGATACTAATCTATGGCTTGAATGGATGAGGTATAATGCTAATTCACACAACAAAACTAACTGTTATGCTTGTGGTGAGGCCAGACTCCATCGGGTTACAGTGCCCTTAAATCTACCTCCAGATGTTGAGATCTAGATCAGCAGTCAGCAGTGAATTCATCCGTGTGTGAATCATGGAAAAAGGTTTACCCAATAACCCAAGGGAATACCAGGCCACCTGATGGAATCACCGTGTACCCAGGTAACTACACTTGCTACACAATACATGGAGCCACAGGTAAATTTGTAGGTAAATTCCCTCCTGGCTACTGTACCACTTATCGAGAACCTCCCACTGCCCTATTAGTAAATCAAGTTAAGTCCGTGGGAGACATTTACTGGCTATGTGGTGACATGCAGCTCAGATTAAAAATGACTGGCCTGTGGTGGGGAGAATGTACTCTGACCAAAGCTATCATGCCCATACATATAATTTCTGATAACCACCAAGGCCCACACAATTCACCACACACGTATCTTAGAGTAAAAAGAGAAACCCCCATTCAAGGTAGTTTCGACCCACACATATATATTGATGCCATTGGAGTACCAAGGGGGTACCAAATGAGTTCAAGGCCAGAGATGAGGTGGCAGCAGGATTCGAATCCTTGATCCCACTCATCACCACTAACAAGAATTGTAACTGGATCAATTATATCTACTATAACCAGCAACGATTTGTCAATTATACTAGAGATGCCCTTCAGGGCTTGGCAGAACAGTTACAGACTATCTCCCAAATGACATTTCAGAATCGAAAGGCCTTAGACATGATCCTAGCAGAAAAGGGGGGCGTGTGTAAAATACTTCCCGATACTATGACATGCTGTACCTTCATCCCAGACAATACAGGCCCCAACGGTAAGGTAACCATGGCCATAGAGAAATTAGAAAGTCTTTCTGACGAATTAAAGAGGAACTCGGGAGTCCCCAATTCATGGGACAGATGGTTTGGATGGATGAGTGGATGGCAGAAAACTCTCCTACAAGTAGGTATGGCAGTTCTTACTGTGGTAATTCTCTTTCTCTTCCTTATTTTCTGTGTGATGCCCTGTGTGAAGAAATATTTACAGAAGACTGTAGGTCAGACTATTGACCGCACTACACCTAAATTCCTACATCATGATATCAATGATATGGACTGTGACACCCCACACACACCTCTTCAGTCCCACCATCTCAAATAAACAACTACTTCCATATAGGGATAGTAAAGGGACAGCGTCTGTCTCTATGGGCAGGAGTCTGACGCAGGAGATGTAGTGGGTTAGCTGCTGCGGGATACCTGCGCAATGAAGCGTTCGAGGCCTGTTCAGACAGATGAGCTGCAGCCAATTAGGGAAATCATTAGGGTTAGTTAGTAGTTGTCTCTCTCTTTCCTAAATAGTCATTTTAAGACTGTTGTGGACAAAACTATTAACCCAATCCATGTTAGTAAAATGCCTATTTACTCAATGCAACTACAATCAGCATTATTCAACTTTCTATGTGATTTACCTAAAATGGCCGCTATGGAGTTGCCCTTTGACATCGACTAACACCCTCATTAACAAGATGGCGCTGGCATCTAGGGGAGACCTCCAAGATACCAGTGACATCACACCCGGTAGAAAGAGCACTAAATGAACCACTTAACACCTAGCCAATTATTGATGTATTATTCCATGTTATCTCTGACAATGCATATGATGTAATTTTGCTTTATAAGGGACATGCCGTCCCCTCAGAATAAACATTCCTCAAGTTTTTCATTAACCCGAACCTGTGTCTGGTGTGAATTACTTTAGGAGCGTGCACGCATTACTTCTTAATTTGGCCGGGGGCAGATACACAAGATAATCAATTTATTAATTGATTCCACATCATCTCTTCTCTAATCTTTTTGTTCTTTCTTTTTTCTTGGAACTTATTTGTTATGTGTACGTTATATGTTGTATGACGTTCAGCCCTATGTCTTATCTGTACTCCCTTCCTATTACTGTTCTATGAGTATTTGCAAGTAAGCACTTACTTTTTAATGTATAAAAACCCAGCTGATGAATAAAACGGCAGAGGCTTTTTAATGTATAAAAACCCAGCTAATGAATAAAACGACAGAGGCTTATTTTGAATACCAACAGGTGTCTGGTGTCTAATTCTCGCTTCTCCAAGTGCACTTGTAATAACAATTTGGGCTTCCTCTGAATATAACAAAGATCAACATTTGGATCCACAACAGACTCCAAGTTTGTGAAAGAAACTTTCCTGGATGAGCCCCCAAGTGCTGGAGGGTAGGATGGTGCAGAAGGCACCCTCCCAGGCAGAGGTCATTCTAGCTGTTTGACCCATGCAACATATGCCACCCATGCTCTGGGGATTGGACACCACCCGACTGCCTCTCAAAATGTATGCACATGTAGCTAAGGAAGCTATTGGAGAAGAAGGTTAGCAACCATTTGCAGTCTGAATATCTGCAGCCTTCAGTGCCAGACAAAGCTGCCCCAAGGCAGAATTTGACCAGCTGATGTTGGCTTTCATGGCGGGTGGAGTCCAAGACCAGGGCCGGCACGTCCATACAGTGGCATAAGCATCCGCCTTAGGGGGGTGCTAAATTACAGTGACCGGCAGGAGGTGGGCGCACAACTCTCTTTACTACCAGTCACTCAGTGTAGTGTGTCCAAGTGGAAGGGAGAGGAGAGGAACAATAAGGGACAGGGGAGGAAGGGGAGAGGAACACAAAAGGACATGGGACGGATGGGAGAGGAACACTAAGGGACAGGGAAGGAAGGGGAGAGGAGAGGAACACTAAGCGACATCGAGGGGAGAGTGGCATACAGGGGGGCATGAGTGGGGTGAAAGACACACAGAGGGACATGAGGGGGGAGAAAGACACAGATGGGCTAGAGAAACACACAAAGGAGCTGGAAAGAGTAAAAGACCCAAAGGGGCTAGGAGAGAAGGAGACACACAAAGGGGCTGGGGGGAGTAAGACACACAAAGCTGGGTTGTAAGAGATACACAAAGAAAGCGCAAGACACACAATGAGGAAAACTAGGGGATAAGATACACTAAAGGGGGTAAGACATTTAAAAAAGGGGATAGGAAACAAAATGCAGTTTAAGAGGTACACAGGTGAAGATTTTTTTTGGGGGGGTGGGCTCCAAAATCATCTTCACCTGTGTACACAAAAATCCTTGCACCGACCCAAAAATCCTTACACTGGCCCTGCCCAAGAGGTATCAAAGGTGCACAGGACAAGTACCTGGTTGCTGTTGGACACCCTGCATGCATAAGTGTCTGGTGGATGATGTCTATTCTCGTGCTGAGTCATTTGATGTGGGCATGGTGCGTGAATGTGCACACAGTATTAAAGAGTGGGCACAAAGGTGCTTTTGTTTACACAAATGTAGCACTCTTTTCAAAGTGATGCAAAGCAGCACTCTTTCGCATTGAAGGTAAACTGGCAGACGTAGGGGCGAAAGAACTTGGCTCTCAGGCACAGGACAAGCTCTTTGGGAACTATTTGAGATTCCTGAACAAGGCATGATCTTCCATGAAGATAGTCTTCAGGGGTATAAATGATCACGTTCGAGGACATCCCTGTCCAGTGGCAGCCACCCCAACCTATCCATTTTGCATTGGCTGACATACGTCTTATCAACCAGAAGGGTGCCATCCAACCTGCCTTATAGGATGAAGGATTCTTCACCAATATGTTATTAACTGGAGGAAAATGTATTATTTTCCACCATCAATCAACCTGTGGGACCTCAGCCCTCAAAGATCCTGAAGCTGATAGTCATCCAACTTTGGGCCCACAGGGTCCGCTGCATAATTTATCTGGATAATATCCTGATCTTCTGTTAAGACTGGATGGGACTGAGGAACCATACCTGATATACCGTGAATCTACTAGAATATCTAGATTTGGAAGTGAATCTAAATCCATGCTGGTTTCCTCACAGGTGGTACAATTTTGAGATCGATTCAACGTTGTGTACCTCTGAGGTCTCATCTATTCGCAAGGAGATTTGCAGAGTTTCCCATCACAACTCCACCCTGCTCTGCATGTTCACACAGATTGTGGGCTGTTGTCTTCCTCAATTCAGACTTGACTGGACTGAAGAGATAATCGATAATCGCGAGGGTCCTTCATCATGTCCCGTCTCAACAGGTGATGATAATGCTGGTTGCTCCTCTGTAGCATAGCCAGCCTTGATCCCCAGACCTTCTGGAATTGTCCGTTCTTCTTTCCGTCATACCAGATGTTCCTCACGGACCAGAAGAGGAGCCCTCACCTGTTGCTTCCAGGAGATCAGCTTTCGATGGTGGCTTGGATTCTTTCCGGTGTTCCTGGCAAGTCAGTGCACTATCACAGGCTGCTTGGGACCTCCTCTGTTACTCCTGGGCCCCTGGTATGA